AACTATTAAATTCATGGAAAAGCTGACAGAGCAACCTCAGAAGGGGCAAGGGGGGAAGTGACTAAGGAATTAACTTGGGGAGATACAGATGAGGGGGGAAGTTGAGATTTACTTGGAGGTCCAGCATCTGTTTTGATGATTCCTGCACACAGGAGGAAAATTTTGATGGCAGCTATGAGACCTTTTGAATTATTTATATGTATGGTAAAACATACTTTGACAATTCAAAGAACAGATCTAACATCAGGGGAACAACTGTATACTGAAGAATGTCTTACTGGGGAGAAAAATCCCTTTTATTTGTGAAAAATACTTTGGATTTAGTGTATTTGTATTCATCACCTTAGGTCGGATGGAAGAATTTCACTTTGCGTTTTTTCATGAGTAGAAAAATTAACTAACTTTAAGGTCTTTCCTTTGTATCAAAGTAGCAAGATTCACTGGAATGAAAATTCCTATTTTATAGTTGGTGATTTTTAAGAGTCCCTGATTAATGTGATTACCAGCTGCATTGCAGTCACATTAAAGCGGTGAATGACATTTGAAATGCGCTTAATTCTTATAGCAAGTTCAAATTGCAGCTGAGCACTGGTGTTAAAGGGTAGGACTGAACAGTCAATTCAAAATTAGCGAGAAATGAAGTGTTTAAAAATGTTAAGGGGGTAAGCCTTTAAAAAGTGACCTTTAGGCAAAATATTAGTCTCTTGCTGTGGTAATAGTTTTATCCATTTCACATATGACATCCACAAAGTGCTCATATTCAGTTCTAATCAAAGCTGAAACTCTAATAATTGGGCTTTATTTTGAGCCACTCTAATGAGCTGCATTTACCCGTATTCTTTGTGATATCCACGTTTGCTTTAACCTATAGAAAGGAAGAAGAATTATAAATGATAAAGCCATGTCTAATCAGCTTTGGGTAAACCCAGCTCTGAGGCAGGGGTTATTTGTAGGCTTTGTTTAAAATGATGAACTCACCTTCACTGAGTGCTGTGGGCTTAGCAATTCCCTGCAGATGGCTTTTGCGTATCCCAGTTTTAGTAAGCATTCTTTCCTTTCATCCAGAAAATAGATGGCTTGTTATTTAGCAGGGTCTGATTAAACTTGCAGCATAATTACTCACATTGTGGTTGACATGGTTCATCAATTTAATGGTGCATGAAAACAGAGACATAAAAATTATCGGCGTATGAAAAGTGTAATCTTCTGGCTGTGCTGTTTCGTTCTGTGTTGAGTTGTAGTGATATTGTTACTAACTTGTTTAATTACTGCATGGAATGGCTTTGATAAAACATGATGATGTATTCTGAGAACATTTTTGAGTTCTGGCTTTCCAATAGGGAAAACAATTCTAGAAGATAAAAAGATTCAGATTTACTTCATTTTAAGAAATGAGGGAAAGATGAGGGTTTTTTCCCCCCACATCTCCATTTCTGACAGTCCATTTCTTTTCTAATTCCTTTGCTTTGCTTCTGTCCTTGTCATAGGAACCTGTATATGCTTCTACTTACTCTCCTGTTATACCTGCTCTCCATAAATTTCATCCTTTTCTACCTATTAATCAGGTGAGCAAAAGTCTGCACAATTTAAATGCCCAACAATTTAAGCACATTTTGACAGTTGACTTTTTTTTTTACATAGGAAATTAATAATCCTCTTAACTTAGCAGCCTAGTAAATGCTGCTTCAAAGAAACATAGCATTATGCCACTGTGCTGTATACTCCTCAATATACATTCTGCTAGTGTTTCTCTATCTGATAGACTATATAGGTGAGAAAATAAATGGAGACATTATTACATTCATTATAACACTGAGAACTTGAAAGTTGTTGAAAAGGGTGTATTAAAGGAGCAATATGTAATGGCACAGCATTTATTTTAGAATAAAATGCTGTGTACGCTGACTTCTCTGTAAGTAATGCGCATATACAATGTAAGACATAAAATCATCTAATTTATTGACTGTAAAAAACAAGGTGCTTGTGTTCAGAGGTGACTTTCCTATAGTGCTTTTCCCTCGTCCCTCTCTCAAGCATTTTTGCCTTGGCACATCCTGCTTCTATTCTCTGACTGTCCTGTCTTCCTGCTTCTCTCTCTCTTTCTTCCTTCAAGGTCGGTAGTACTAGTTTGAAAGAGTCAAGTTCACTGATTTCTGATGAACGTCATCCTTGGAGATGGAAGGTGAAATGCTGTATAAACTTCCTATTTTGCTATTGGAGGGAGTAGTAAGACAGAAAATTAAATTTGGATCAAAGATGCACATCCCAGAGCAACCAGTGGCAGCAGGGCGTTTGCTTCAAAGTAAAGTTCTACTGCTGTTCAAGTAAACATTAGAGAAGCTTCATGTGAAGTGCTCCTCAAAATCACGTCCATACTTCTGCAATTCCATCATTAAGCTATTTGAAAAACTTACTTTTGAAGAATTAATAGATTATGAGAAGTATAAACTTTTTTTCAGCTGGAGATAAATAACAAAGTTGTCTTTGTGCAGAAGTGTAACGCTGGATCTTGACCTGAGCAAACAGTCACTGTTTCACGTGACCAGAGGTGGGGGGAAAAAAAAAAAAAAAAGGCAAAGGCAGGAGTGAGCAAAGAAAAGAAATAAGTTTAAGAAAATGAGAGTTTGCTGGGAGGTCATAATAGGCCTATACAAATCTAATTCTGCTTTCTTACACCTCCTTGTCACCTGCCTCCCAGCTCAGCTCTGATTGTAGTGCTACAAGAGATCCATTGGGTTCTTCATTCCCACACAAAATACAGTGTCTGTCGCACGTGGGGAACATTCTGACCATATGTGATGGTACTGAATCCAAGGGGCACTGCTAGAACAGAGGAGGATGATTATGGCAGGGGCTACTGAAACTCTGGTAAAAACTTTGGCTACTGATATTTGCCTTTTCTACATTCACTTTCATAGCTGGTTTTGAAAATGACCTTTTACTATAGGTTGGGGGCTTTTTAATTAAAAAATAATTAGCTTTATCACTATTTACTTCAATTACTCTATTCACTTTTATTGTGAAAGAGTTCACCAGCTCTGTATCTAGAAGGTAGATTTCTGTTACTAAGTTAGACTTTATTTTTCCTTCAGTGATAACAAGAGGTCCTTAGACGAGTTGAACAGCCCATTGATCTTTAAAGCAGAACACTCAAAAAGTGTTCATCTTTCCCCTGACCGTGGTGAGCTACGTCCTGCCCTCTTTGAAAACTGCTTCCTTCTAGTGTAGTGTCAAGGTGCATACAAGTTTGTCTGGGTTTTTTTCTGGCACTATTAGTTGTTTTGTTGTTTGCACCAAACACTAGCTGAGTAAGTTCTATTTTGCTCAAACCACTTTTGAGCAGAAAGCTGTGCAGGTGCATTTGAGTTTTCTCCTTACAGCAAGAGCCATATAAAGTTGCAGGGGAAAACAATGCAGAAAGTATTCTGTACTTCTGCAACTGTTGGATTCTTCTTGTTCTTTTTTTTGTTTTAGGAACTCGAACTGGAGAAACTATTTGTATTAAAAGGCAAATAGATAGCTCTTAGATTCTTCTTTTATATAATTTACAGCATTACTTTGCAATGCATCTCTCTTTTGAAAAGTACATTTTTTAGTGTTCATTCTTAGTTTGGACTCCCCCAGGTTGAGGCATTCTTGATCTTCAAGGTAGAAAACCATGAGTTCTCTTTGCATCAAAAAATAGAAAACCCCAAACAAAATAAACCTCCAAAACACAAAACAGTGTGCTAACAGACTACTCTTAGTTGTGTTCTTGTGACCTGAAGGGAACACTGCTTGGACTGGAAAATTGTAGGTTACAAAATGGAGCATTGCTGGGATGTGGGCTCTTCCTTGGCATGAACTGATGGTGCAAAAGCAGGGGAGTGTCTGGGCATACCTGCAAGAGATGTGTTGCGGTGCTAGAAAAGACCAATGTCGTCATCCAACCCAGCCGAGCAGTGCAAGGAAAGTAATCCCTGTTTCTAACTCTTCTTGTAACTCCTTCCAGACTTAAAACAGGTCTTTTAGAATATGCAGTCTTTGTTCTAAACTGTGAAGATACAGAGAATTCACTGCTATATTAATTTTTATATGTAATTACTGTTGCTGGGTAAAACTTAACTTTTAACACTCTCTTTAGTAGAAATAAATACATACCTGACTTAACTTGGGGTGGATTTTTTCCGAATCTTGAAGAAATATTTTAGCCCTTTCCTCAGACCTTTCAAAATTGTCAGCATCCTGGATAGAAGTGTAGAGGATGGAAGTGGGCAAGCTATTGCAGTACAGATTATCTGTTCAGAACAGCTGTTCCATGGGATTTTTTCTCATCTGTCTTTCTAATTGGCTGGTTTTTGCTTATTTCCCTTTTCAAATAACATTTCTCTTAAAAGCTTGCTTTACTAGATTTTTCTGATAATGATTTTTTACCCATCTATTTGATTATTTCTTCTTTATCACTCTACTGTATGCTGGTATCATCCTGAGGACTTTCTCAGCAGAAGTGTATCTTTTTTTCCACACGCATAAGGATGTTTTGGTCAAAGTTGGGACAGATCAGAGCACTGCATGGCTCTTTTCTCTTTAGAAATAATTTTTCAGTCAGTTAACAAGTTTGCAGCCTGTAAACTGCACTGATATTTTTATATAAAAAAAAACTTGGAATGTCATCTGTGATTAAGTCAAATATATTAAAGAAATCAGAGGTAACCATGTTAACGTATTTAATCATACTTGATCTCATCAAACTTACCATTTTGATTAAACCTGTTTTCCATAATGCCACATGGAATGGCATTAATTATGCGCCTGTGCTTTGATTCTTTATTGATTGTCTTACAGCAGTCTTCTCGTGAGTGTCTGGAACAACACGCAGCTTGTGTGACCTGTACCAAATGCTTTCCTTCTATTTCTTCTAAATGTTGTCCCCATCTGAGCTTTATCAGACCTATATGTTTTCCCATTTTCAAATGCTTATTTAAAAAAAAAAACACTACTTGTGTTTGGGACATCTCCTAATCCAGTTATTTCATGTTGTTGGATGCCCGTTCATCCAATCCTTTCTCTGTTTAACTTTATATTAGGAAATTTATCATTTGTGTGAAACAAGATATCAGTCAACACATGCATGTATTTTTCATGACAAATTACAATATTTCATTGAATGTAACAGACTTTTTTATTTAATGGAAAAGTATTATCAGAGCTGTTGTCTTCCTAAGCTTTTATTTATTCATGATACACTAAACTAATTCTTGTTTTGGCTTTTTATTGGAGTCTTTAGCTCCCCTTATCAAAATGTCACAAATATAAATTTGAGATTTATACTTTAATATTTTTTTTTTACTTGGAGATAAAATATGCACTTTTAAAAGCTGTCTTGCCTTTTACATTTCTTTATGTATTTTGTCCTAACAAGAATGTGCTTTGACCAACTCATTCCTCCATAAAAGCCGTCACTTGGCAATTGTGAAGACTTTATAACTGTTCCAAATTACCGTGTATACCTGTTTGATTTTTTTTTTTTTTACAATTACATTGACTCATCCTAGTGTTACAGCTATAGAAAGTTATTCTTTCTTTTAAGCATCACACGTATGTTTGTTTTTCACTAGGACTGTTATAGCAAATTAAATGGGTTGTGGGTCGCTTCATTTTTAGTTAATTTGTTTGTTAATAGAGGAAGGTGAGAGTCTTCATGCATTAGGAAGAGATCTAATATGGAATTGCTCTGAGTTTTGTAACATACAGATCCAGTCTCATATTTTTTTTTTAGGAACTCCAAGGATGTTTTTGCCCAATGGAGCAGCTTCAGAATTTCCATTAAAAATAAAAATTAATAGATTTGTTTCTACCATTAGACAGCTACCTACTGTCTTTTGTCCTTTGACAAGGCTCCAGACTGACTTATGATCTTTATTACAATTTAAATGTGTGGTAATTAACACATATTCATTCCAGGCCTGTGTCTTCAGAATTCCCAGTAGTTCTGCAGAGTCTGGAGCTGCAGGTATTTGCTGGAGACAAAATTCAAAATTAAACTGCTTGTCACTTAAAAAAATACAAAAAAATACATATGAAATAATCCGTATGACTCTGCTTCCTGCCTCTCCCTCACCTCCCCTCATATTGTAATCAAAATCAGCATCCTCACTAACTTAAAAGTATTTGTTTTGTGTATGAAATTTTATTTATGGTTTCATTAGGTCTATGTTACTTTCCTGCCAAGATCTTTAGTGTGCTCTTACTGGATTTTTTTCCTACAGCTCTTCAGAGGTACCAGAGGTGCATGTGCTTCAGGCATTGAAATGGGTAGAGATTGAGGGAAATGAACACAGATTATTTACAATGTTTTTACTTAAAGCATTTAGATGCTTTTACAGAAGAGGAAAAAATATTGAATAGACTTGCATCTTGTTATTTCTTTTGAACATTTCAGAGTTCTAGGGAAAAATCAGAGGTTTTTATCTTGATTATCATGACTTGCAGTTACAGTATTTGGCTGCCCAGCTATTTTGCCTAGTAAATAGAGAGCAAGTGTAACAGCAGAGGCTGCAGGAGTACATGGAACTGGAGGAAGGAGTGGAGGACTCTCACATCCTAGTCCTTGTACAAGCTGCTTCTTGGCTTGCCTTTACTCTTCTGGCTGATGTATACTCTTCCTAGTAAATGCTGAGAGCTAAGAAATCTCTATTCCAATGTCTTCTCCACGGTCAAAAGAGTTTTTTATACAAAAGTGACTGATCTATTTAGTCTGATTGTAAGAAAAAAAAAATCAAAAGGGAGATTTCCTTTAAAAAGGATTTTTTTCCCCATTTTTACAAAGAGGAAGGAGGAAGACCTGAGGAGCTACAGGCCAGTCAGTCTTATCTCTGTGCCCAGCAATAGTGGATCCTCCTGGAAACTATGCTATGGCACATGGAAAAATAAGGAGGTGACTGGTGCCGGCCAACATGGCTTCACTAAAGGCAAATCATGTCTGACAAATTTGGTGGCCTTCTATTGATGGGGCTACAGCAATGATGAATAAAAGAATTGTAACTGTTGTCATATACCTGGACTTGTGGAAAATATTTGACACTGTCTTGTACCACATCCTTGTCTTTACATTGGAGAGACATGGATTTGATCAATGGACCTGTTGGTGAAGAAGGAATTGACTGGGCATTCACACTCAGAAAGTTGCAGTCAGCAGCTCGGTGTCTGAGTGGAGACCTGTGATGACTGGAGCTCCTCAGAGCCTGGTGCTGTTTCACATCTTTGTTGGTGACATGGACAGTGGGATTGAATGCACCCTCAGCAAGTTTGCCAGTGACACCAGAAAGGGACCTTGACAGGCTTGAGAGCTGGGCCAGTGTGAAACTTGTGAAGTTCAACAAGGTCAGGTGCAGGGTCCTGCATATGGGTCAGGGCAATCCCAAGCACAAACACAGGCTGGGCAGAGGGTGGATTGAGAGCAGCCTGGAAGAGAAGAACTTGGGGGTGCTGGTTTAAGAGAAGTTTAAGTTGGAAGTCAGTTGAAGAGGCACAGCAATGTTCATTTGCAGCCTAGAAAGCCAACCCTATTCTGGGCTGCATCAAAAGAAGCATGGCCAGCAGGTTGAAAGGGGTGATTTTTCTCCCTCTACTTTACTCTCTTGAGACCTCACCTCAAGAACTGTGTTCAGCTCTGGGGCTCCCAACATAAGAAGGACATGAACCTGTTGGAGTCACTCCAGAGGAGGCCATGAAGATGATCAGAGAGCAGGAGCACATGTCCTGTGAAGACAGGCTGAGAGAGTTCAGGTTGCTCAGCCTGAAGAAGGGAAGGCTCTGGAGAGACCTTATAGTCACTTCCCAGTACTTGAAGGGTGCCAGTAGGATAACTGGAGAGAGACATTTTACAAGGGCATGTGGTGATAGAACAAGGGGTAATGGCTTTAAATGGGAAGAGAGTAGGTGTAGATTGGATGTCAGGAAAAGTTCTTTACAATGGTAGTGAGGCAGTGGAACAGGTTGCCCAGAGAAGCTGTGGATGCCCCCTCCCCAGAAGTGTTCAAGGCCAGGTTGGATGGAGCTTTGAGCAACCTGATCTAAGGGGAGGTGTCCCTGTCTGTGGCAGAGGAGTTGGAACTAGATGATCTTTAAGATCCCTTCCAACTCAAAACATTCTATGAGCATTCCATGATAAATAAATATCTGGGTTTATATCTCTTACTTGTATATTGAAACAGAGTGTGTATGTTCACAAACTTTAAGGTCCTTCATTTTCCCTACTGTGGTTGTATGAGCTAGACCTGTGATAAAGCTTTAGATTTTCAAGTGTTTTTTTTTCAATTCTAGCATCTAGATTGTGAAGAAGAATGCCAAGTGGCACACAGCATGAAAGTCATTCTAGAGTTGACAGTCTCATGCACTTAAAATACTTTTATACTTAATTTCTATGCAGTATAATCTGTGAAATGTTGCTACTTTTTAAAGATAAGTGCATTGAAGCAATATTTCTTTGGCCTGACCTAGCTAGATACAGAAGAATATGTAAATTTGGTTTCTTTCCTATTTAATGTACCATCATCAATCCTTTGTGTTAGGAGGGTACTAAGGTACTTAGCGCTCCTAACTAATCCCTCAAGCTGTTGGCTGCTACCCTTTAAAGCAAGCGAGGAAAGCTGAGGGTGACCTTAAAAATAAAAGAATGAAAAAAAAAAAAAAGAGATGATCACAGTCATTGGAAAAATATTTAGTAGAACAAGCTGACATAGGAGCTAAAATGAGCAGCCTCCAGAGCAATAAGGCTGCTAATTCTGCCTCAAGAATTGAGTTAATGTAAGAGTGTGATTCAGAAATTACAAACTGAAGTTACAGTTCTTCATTGTTATTCCCCTTGTGACCTGCAGATTGCACACTTGAAAACATCTGCTGAAAGTCACTTTAGTGATCTCACTAGTGTAGCAATTCATGCTTCAAAAGAGCAAGGTCTGGAAAAATATACCATACACAGAATAAATTGTTTGCTTTGCTTAGAGGGATGCCATTTGCCTTGACTGGTAGTTTCAAGAAAAGGTCAAAGAACATAAACCAAACCTTATCTTCACAGTGTAATGGGACAGCAGGACAATGAAGCTTCTTGAGGTCAGGGTCACTAAGCTATGTCGGTGACTTTCCTCTAGTAGATTGTTCTCCTGGTCTCTTCCCTCTACAGCTAGCAGTTGAAATGTTCAGTAAGTGCTTTGCAATTTTCTGGCCAGTATATCTATTTTTCAAACATTTCTTTCTCTTTTCCCGCCAAAAAAAGCAGAGAATGGTAGATAACCAGGAGAGCCAGATGACTATTGAAGAAAGGAAACACCTGATTACAGCCCGAGAAGAAGCCTGGAAATCCAAGGGTAAAGGAGCAGCCAACGACTCCACGCAGTTCACCGTAGCGGGCCGAATGGTGAAAAAAGGTCAGTGATGAAATGATCCTAATATAGATAAGCCACTGTTTAGCTGTCTAGTCAAAATAAAGTCAAGCTAAAGTTATGCAGAAACAGTATCCATGTGTAGCAAAAAGGGGACTGTTTATTTTCAACCGAGTATCATGTGAGGCTGTTCACTCTAGCTTCTTGTGGCCATTGGTGTTGATCCGTTTTGTTCTGCAGTTTTGTGCTGCCATCCAGTTACTGCTGGACTCTGTCTGACTCTTCAGTCACTTGAACAGTCATATTTTTTGGTTTTTATTCTAATACAACCCAGAGGGTACAGCTGGATTATTCTTTCTTGTTTATTCTGCCTTTGAAAACCCAGGTGCACTGTCTAGAGAAAAGTTGTGAAATCTAGCTGTTGCTGGTGTTCCCCCTGCTCTTAGGATCACTGGGAACAAATACGTGTTATTTTTATGGATACTATTTTGAACAGCTACTTAAAGTGTTGTGTTTGGCTGAAGAAATTGCTTAAGAGATTTCTGCATAGAACCAGGGAGTAGAAATGACAAGGGAGTAATACTGACATTTTTGGGATCTCTTGCATTCAGTCGCTCTTCCCAGATGCCATCATTCTTCTGAAGTGGACAGGACTCTCTGAAGTCTCTACATGGCACAAATATAGCTGCTCATGCCGTGTGCCTGGGAAGATGATAGCTTTGGGTAGAAGGCACCCAAACTGATCTCTTGTGGTTAATGAATATTAAATTTTGGTTTGCTACGGGAACTTGATTATGAAAGACAACAACAATGAATCTTGAGATAAATTACAACCACAAAAAAAAATCATTGTAGGGTGAGAGCACTATTGCAATAAGGAGTAACTCGGTTTGCAATCCAAGCCACATTCTGTTGGCAGATAAACAGATAAGTGGTATTAGGAATTACATCTATTAGTAACATATTTTAGCTGCTGTTTACATTGTTTTGCTGCTAGAAAGGCCAGTGGTCAGGGTTTAAACTATTTTGCAGGCTGACCAAGGAAAAGTGTTCAGTTGTCAGGCTGCTTTTTGAGATTTTTTTTTTTTTACCAAATAAATTTGTCTTTGGAAAGGAATAAAGGTGATAGCACTTACCCATCTTAGTAGGAAAAGAAAAATACCTTGAAGGGATCTCTTTAGATGTTGTGATTGTTCTTTTGGAGAAGCAAAATAATCCAGTGACAGTGGCATCATTAAAAATAGCCCAAGTGTGATTTTATTCAGATGTGTGTGCTATTTTTCTTGCCTAAAAGAATAAATTATTGTGATGAGTTTTTAATTTAAGAGATGATGATGAAGCAATGCAAAATTAAATCTTTGTTATATACATGTGCACAGATGCTGTATTTTAATTGCTTCTTATGGCTGAAAAAAAATCAGTCCTAATTGGAAGGTGATCCTTTACTGACTTCCGAAGTGGTTCTCAATGTGGTCTTGTGGATTAAATCCCAGGAGATCTGTGTCCTCAGATATGTCTTGATGACGGCTTTATCAGTTGTTTTAAAACCTGCTGGAATTTTGAGTCTCTTAGATAATGGGAAAAAATGTTAGTGGAAATGATTGTATTCTAAATCTGTCTTGGTGTTTGACAATTATGTCTTGCTAGATGTTGCAATAAAGATAGTGGAAACATGGTTAGTATCTATTCTCACAGCACGATATTGGTTTAATCTGGTCAAAATAACTGAAGACTTAAACTTATATGACTCAGTAATTAGTAAGCTATGACTAAGTGGAAAATAGATATTAGAGGAAAGTTTACATGTCTGTTTTCCCAAATGACTGAAAGTCTAGGCAATGAGAGGTAATAGAAAAGCATAGTAAAGCAAAGAATTACATCTACCTAGGAAAACAAAAAGCCTGTGGAGTGCTATTTCTCTTACTGGAGCAATGTTGATTCACATGAAAAGAGTTAAACAAAAATCTACTGGGTCCAGAATTATTTGCTTAAGACAGTTACTGAAAAGCAGGGAGGAGAGTAGTGCCTTACATGATGGGGACTCTGGCTTCCATTTCCACACATTTTAAAACAGGGCCCAGGAATTACCTGCTTAATCCAGGGATGGTGTTCATGGGTCAGATGCATCTTGCTGTGTGTGTTATGGGTTTAATTTAAAAAAAGGGGGCCAAGGGAGTGGTGGTAACAAAGATGCTAAGCAAGATCTTTGTAGTTTCCCTGCTAACCATATTTTTTTTTTGTTTATAACAGTTATGTGTTTTTAAAATGTAATTTGTGGTAGAACTGGAGTCCAAAATATACCTTGAAAACAAGCAAAATTAATGTATCCAAGAGAAAGCATGTATCTGGTGTTAGCTTCCTTACACACACTTGGAAACAAAGCTTTGAATGGGGCAGTTTGTGAGGCTGCTAGTGATTTAAGGAGCAGGCAGGGAGCTATGCTCTGCCATCCCTGTCACACAGTTGTGGAAGCTGAGGGAGTATGAGGGACTGCAGGAAGTGTCCAGGCTCACCTGCTTTCCCTAAATAGCTCCCCTTGTCATCACTGTTGGAAACGTGGGCTGAGCCAGAATGGCATTTCCACCCAGGACTGCATTTGCTATGTTCTCTGTTCTTACACAGGCCTGGCTTCTCCAAGTGCGCTAACACCTCTGGCATCCCCTTTCAGTAACCGGCAGAAGTCTACAACTCCAGTTACAAAGCCCTTGGAAGGTAAGGAGTGAAAATGGCTGAGATACATTCAGACTTTTATACATCCTGTCGATTAACAAGTTTTACTTTCTGGATTGCTTAGAAATTGAAGCCAGACCTGATATGCAATTGGAGTCTGATATGAAGCTTGACAAGTTGGAGTCATTCTTGGGAAGACTGAATAACAAAGGTTGGTAGACTTATCAAAGGTGGCAATGTATCTACTCCATGACTTGAAGTACCTCTTAGTTAAAATATCTGTTCACAGATATTTCCTTGTTCAGACTGTGCTTACTGATCACAGAGTTTATTTTTGTGATTTGGTCTTTGCTAAATTGTAAAAAAAACCCTCCTTATGCTATTGTATTACAATGAACAACGGAATAAATCACAAATGCCAAAGTAACTTCCACCTTTCTCTACACCTGATATATGCATTCTTCTTGAGAGCAAAATTTCTAAAAACTACACAGCCAGTCTGAACCGTGTTGCTATATACAGGGAAACAGCTTTAAATGCGATTTAACCTTATTAAAATCAAGATAGGACACTGAATTGCTCCCAAGCACAATTCGTTCAGCTTCCTGATTTTTTGAAAACTGACTTGCTGTAGCAGCCCATGTAGCTTCCTTGTACGGCTTGATGGGTACCTATGAAGCTGGCTAGAGTTCTCTGGTGTTTCCATCTCATATGTCTGTCCTCCATTTGCAAGACAGAAATACTTTTGTAATTTGTAGTAATATCATAAACAAATGTATTTACATTTCAGCAGGGGAGGCATTAGCATAGGATAATGATTGTGCCGTACTCACTAGTCTGGAGTGAGTTACTTTTCCACTTGCAGCTCTAGTAGGTCTTCACAAAGGAATGAATTATGTGTTTGGAAGCAAGATGAAGTGTGCAAGACCATTAAATGCTTACATCATCCTGCCAAAACATCTTATTTTTGATAGTGCCTAACTTTTTATTCAGCCATATTTCCCAACCATTTTGTAATAAAGATTACTGTATATGAGTAGCAGTTACACTGTTTTTATCATTCTTTTCTACCATCTCTCCTTCAAATTCCATAAATTTTAAAATAAAACCCTAAACAACAAACAACAAAAAAAATCCAAAACACCACCACCCCAACAACAAACAAGCCATGTTTACCTTTTTTAGAGTTAGAAACTCTAGTATGATTAACTTATTGGGTGAGGGTTTTTTTCCTGCAGTTGCTGGAATGCAAGAGACAGTGCTGACAGTTACAGGAAAGTCTGTGAAAGAGGTGATGAAGCTGGATGATGATGAAACGTTTTCCAAATTTTATCGCCATGTGGACTTCCCTTCCTCCTCAGTGCCTTTGGACCTGGATGAGGACTTTGATGCCATCTTTGATCCATATGCACCAAAGTAAGAACTATTGGTTTGGCTGGATTTTTTCCGTTAATGCAGACATAGAGGTGAGGGGCGATGCTCAAAATGTTCAGCTTTAAGTCATATTGTAGATATTTTAGTACTGAGCACGTCCATTTCTTCTACACGCTTCTGAAATCGCTCCTCTGACTGAATCAAGGGACTGATCCTGATTTCCTAACAAATGTCATACCCAAATTCAAAGCAAATCTCTTGTTGTTAGATGATTCTGACTAGGAAAATCAACTGATGGTTATAAACACTGCTTGGTTTTCAGGTTGATATCTTCTGTAGCAGAGCACAAGCGTGCAGTCAGGCCTACGCGCAGAGTCCAGTCCTCAAGAAACCCCCTGAAAATGCTGGCAGCAAGAGAAGATATCCTTCATGAGTATACTGAACAGAGACTGAACGTTGCCTTCATGGAGTCAAAGCGAATGAAAGTTGAAAAAAGTAAGCTAACTGGATGATTTTTACAAGGACACTCTCTTGGTATTTCAAATTAAAACAAAAAATGCCAACACAAAAACTACAACTAAAGGAATGGAGAGACAAGTTGCTGGTGGAGGTATAAGGCTCAATAGGGACTGTCTGGGAGGTCTGGAGAGCAGGGCATGTGTGACCTCCTGAAGGAGAGCTACTTACAGCCACCTCCTGTGCATAGGTTGACTTATTTATTTTTAGCACAGTCACCTTGTGCAGAGAGAGGGGCGCTGTGCTTGCAGGGTGAGGACAGGAGAGCGAGGAAAGCAAATCTAGTGTTACGTTATGCTGGGTAGTAGAGCTGTCAGGAAGAGATAAACTTTTGTTCAGGTGCACTGGTTTCAGTTTTGGGTCCTAGTTTTCTTTCAGAAACTGGAAATTAGCCTTATTAACTCCGAAAGATTAACTTCTGTAAAGGATCAGTGCTCTGTGGCAGGGCTTTGTTTTAGTTGTGATTTGCTTCCTCCTGACAACCACGTAGACAACAAGAAACATTATTGTAAAATTTATTCAAAACTTTGCCAAGCCGCTTTTACAATTTTGAGTACAAGTTTTCTTTACATTTGAATCAAGGGGGATCATCTTTAAACATTGACTGTATTGATGGAAACATTAATTATATGTGTAATACTTTGTTGCTGCTTGATGAGAAGTATTTCCGTGAGTTATAAAGTGCTTTGTCTTTGGTTGAGGAATAAGCAGATGTAGCCAAGAATTTAGGCTTTAAGTTTACAGTAAAACATGACCAAGACTTTGAAAGGTAAATGGCTGTTACATCACACTGGCTGAGAAAAATTTGAAAGGAATTTCATTAATTAGCCGTGGCTACTCTGCTGTCTTTTATGATTAATAAGTTAGAAGGCACTTCACAAAACATTGTGTAAGACTTTTCCTAGCAAAGTTGATATTTTTGCCAAATAGCATAATTCTGACACTGACAGTTTACTCTTGGATGGTATCTAGAAACTTGGGTAACACAAAGCTTTTGGGCTGAAAGTTAACCAGTTAAACTGAGTTCAACCTGGTTTTGCTGTTGCTATTGAGAAGGAGAAAGACGGAAATAATGGAAAATTTTAATCTTTTTAATACAGCAACAATTTAAAAAATATTTTTACACTTTTCTTTAAATTTTTGTGTGTTTTCTCTCCAACTTTTTTTTTATCTGCAAGTGTCCACAAACTCAAATTTCTCAGAAGTAGCACTTGCTGGCCTGGCAAGCAAAGAGAACTTCAGCAACGTTAGCCTGCGGAGTGTTAATCTTACAGAGCAAAACTCTAACAACAGTGCTGTGCCATACAAAAAGCTAATGCTGCTGCAGATTAAAGGTATGCTGAAACCATTTTTACTTTCCATACATAACAGGCTGACTTAACACATGGGAGTTGCTACCATGGTTGGATGCTTAGCTTGTTCTAGTTCTCCAGCTTGAGATTTATGTTTAAAACCTGAAAGAATAAGTGAGAACTGTGTGACAAATGCAAAACCTTACAAATAGGTTTTCATTTGGGCCACTGATGTGTTTTCAAAGGAAAAAACAATATTTCAGGAGTTATAGCCACCTCCTGTGGAAATTTTTGAACTGTCCCATTCTTCCAGTGCTCAGTATAACTTGGAAGTGACATGACAGTGTTCTTCCTCCACTTCCCCTTTCAGTGCATAGTGATTCTGCAAAATAATAGCTACTTTTTTTAGCAAAGTAAAATTGTGAAAGCTTTTTACTCCTACAGAAACTGTGCCATAGCTTCAAGTAAGCAAATGTAGAGGAGTCTGGATTGTATTGTCATTTACTTAATTAATTTATTTTCAGAAGGACACAAAGGTGTTAAAAGAACAGCAGGAGATAATAGAAATATTAGCTGGTAGGAGGCAAAATTTTTTTTGCTTCCTGTGAGTAAGCCCTTTTTCCACAGTAGTAGTCTTTTAATTCTTCTTTAGCAGTCTGTTTCCATATATTTTGCTAAATGTGCTGGTAATTCAAAACAAATTAGATCTTGGCATTTGCTAGCAGCAGTCAAAGGAGTATAATTAGTTTGTTTTCTCTTTAGGAAGAAGACATGTTCAAACAAGATTAGTTGAACCAAGGGCCTCGTCACTGAACAGTGGAGACTGTTTCCTGTTGTTAACTCCACATTTATGTTTCTTATGGGTAGGAGAGTTTGCAAATGTCATAGAAAAAGCAAAGGTTAGTACCAGTTGGGGTGGGGGGTTTTATTATTTATTTTTAGAACTCTCGCATATGTGTCTCTGTAATTAAGCCTTTGTGCCTGTTATCTCAAAAAGTGGAGTGTAACTGATAGTCAGTGACAGGTAGATACGCAGGATTCTTGTAAATTTATTTTAGCCTGTGCACTCAATGAAAGCTGATGTAGGAGCGTGTAGGCTGTGAAGCTGCAAGAGAAAAGAGGATATCCTCAGGAAACAGTTTTGCACTGAAACAAAAAATAGTCTGAATTGCAGGATGTCCTTTTTATTCCCATGTTCATCAATATCAAGTCTTGTTTTAAGGCAGATGAAAGAACGAATGTATTTCTTTAATAGTTTCTTTGGTATCTGTCTATTTAAAGCAACAAATAATAATAATTTCTCCTGCTATTTGCTCTATTATATCCTATCTACTTTTTCCTTCTCCCTGAACAAGATATGCACAAGTATTCCAAAGACTTACGCAATCCTGTTCAGGTAACTGTTAATCTCTTAGGCTTCAGAACTTGCAACTTTAATTCAGACAAAGAGGGAACTTGGCTGTAGAGCTTCTTATATACAGACTATAGAAGAAGGAATAAATACCCATACCCATGCAGCCAAAGACTTCTGGAAACTCCTTGGTGGACAGACAAATTACCAGTGTAAGCATTCTTACAGTTACAGTATCTGATGCTTTATCACAGTAAAATAGTTGAGTCTGTTTTCTTAGCGAAGATAGCTGGATGTTAAAATTCTTTATTATTTTTGACAATTTTTCCTTAAGCTGCTGGAAGTCCTGAAGAAGATGAAATGTATGAAGCTGCAATTATAGAAACAAATTGCATTTACCGCCTTGTAGAGGATAAACTCATTCCTGAGGATGACTACTGGGGAAAGGTGCCAAAATGTACCCTGCTACAACCAAAAGAGGTATTATGCCACTTACTGCTCCCATTGTAAGTGCAGGAATACCTAGCTGATAGTGACTTTTAGTAACTGCAAATGCTTATGGGATGGCTCACTAAAAATTGGGTCTATGTTTCTGAAAAGCTTCTGAACACTTCACTGTCCAGAGTGTGCAGCAGGTCTCAAGAAATTAGATGTTTAAAGTGAAATGCAATTTTAGGAAGTGCAAATCTTTTTGTCAACAGTGGCTTATTCCAAAGGCATGAAGTGCAAAACAGGTAGCATTTGGGGAAAGCAAACCAAAATAATTACTTGTCTTCCCTTCCGAGCATTTTTATTTCTGTCCCTGGCAGACTTTTCCCTTTCAAATAACCATTTCACCCATCTAAGTAGAAATTAAAGCAGATCGTCAAAATAAAGACACAATGCATTTTCTTGAAAGCATTCAAATTGCTGCCAGTTTGCTGAGGCAGTTACCCAGGCTGTATGTTCTGTCAGCCTTCCCCGGCTGCAGGACAAAACAGAGGTCTAAAGCGAAAGCTGTTGTAGCCGGCAATCAGTCATGGAACAGAATCAGGTTTTTAGTACTAAGAGCTTTCTAATCTGCAAGTGACCTAGCTACCACCTGAAGTTATGCCTTAGAGCATTCCCCTACTTCCTTCCAGTCACCCTAACAATTAGACCTGTCAGTGCAGACCACTGCCCTGGCTTTACTTGCATTGCAGTGCTAGTCATTAGTGTCACTGCAGAAACTTGGGTATTTGGAGGAGTTAGTGTTCAGCTGGAGGATCAGGGTATCACCTAACCTAACGGTGAGGTGTTGGTGGGTTTTTTATTTGTTTTTTAGGTGCTGGTGTTTGATTTTGGCAGTGAAGTATATGTATGGCATGGAAAAGAAGTTACTTTAGCACAAAGAAAAGTGGCGTTTCAGCTGGCAAAACACTTGTGGAATGGCACCTTTGATTACTCCAATTGTGACATAAATCCTCTGGACCCAGGGGAATGCAATCCCCTCATACCCAGGTATCAAATCTCAGGTTTGGTCTCCCTGCGGAAACTTAATTTTCTTTTCCTTATTTGACAGCATTTAATTTGATTTTATTTCTTTTGTTCCCTTGTACAGAAAGGGACAAGGACGCCCAGACTGGGCTGTGTTTGGCAGACTCACAGAACATAACGAGACAATACTGTTCAAAGAAAAATTTCTTGACTGGACAGAGCTGAAGAAACTCAATGAGAAGAATTCTAGTGAATCCCTTCACCAGAAGGTGCGTATAATAAGCATTTGAAACTAGATGACCTAGCTGGAATGGAAGCCAGGGAAGCTTGTTCTCAAGCATCCAGAGCACTTTCTTTATCTGGTGGGCTTTGACTTGGGGGTCAGAACATCACCACTTACAGTCAGCCCCCAGAGTTGCTTTCTGCTAGTGCTGAGCAGCTCAATGAATACTGCCAAAGTGGCTTTGACAAGGCATGAAATGATGCCAAGATATCAAAGTACTGAAATATGCAGGAGTCAGACTGTTTGCATGGAGCTGTGGGGTAAGAAGGAAAAAGAAAATGTGTTCAAAGAAATATCTTCTGTGGTTTTTTGACAGGAAGAATCCAGATCTGATTCTAAACCATATGACGTAATGCTAATGGTGGCTGTGCCCCAAACAACTGTAGGCACAGTCTTGGATGGAATGAATATTGGCCGGGGCTATGGACTTGTAGAAGGAGAAGATGGGAGGCAGTTTGAAATTATCACTGCGTCCGTGGATGTCTGGCACATCCTGGAATTCGATTATAGTCGACTGCCTAAGCAAAGCATAGGGCAGTTCCACGAGGGAGACACGTATGTGGTGAAGTGGAAGTACATGGTGAGCACTACAGGTTAGTGAACATTTCCATTTCATCCTACTGAAACACAGAGGAGTGCAGCTAAAACTGCTACTGCTAGTGGTGAGATCCAGACCTAGACTTCCTTGAATGTGGAACTTGTTTTAAAGGTTAGAAATGCTGATTTAGCCTTCCTAGGCCATTAAGAAGTAGAGCTTATAATTTTATTTTGTTTGAAGAGCATTAAAAAAACTGTAGTTATTTTTCCTACATCAAGTGTAACACTGTCCGTCTCTCCTTTTACCCAACGGTGGCGTTGTGTGTGTTCACAGGACAGCTCATTAAGCCAGAATTGTGCCCGCAGCTTAACACCAAAATAACTAGGCAGCTGGACTAATGACAATGATCTGAATGGTCATGCAAGAGAGGTAGGCTTAGTAACAAGGAAAGCCTTTACTGGGTAATGGAGAACAGTAACAATGACAGGAAAAGCCCTTGCCAACTCATTGCCCTTGCTGTCCTTTTTGCTGTTTCTGGAAACCCTTTGCTATAGGTTTCAGTCTCAAGTGGAAAACTTTAGCAGTGTTCTGACAAAGAGCCTGAGAGCAGCAGGTAAAATGCTGGAAAGCAGTCAGCTCAATATGCTTGTTGGAACTCTCTGAGAGTAGGTGGCTCTTGTGGTAAGTAAAATAGGAATAGTCTAAAAATGATTTTTCCAAATAGGAAAACATGAAAATTAGTTGAAAGCAGTGTAACAGCTATACAGCTTCAGACTTGTAGCCAAAAAATGTAGGTAGGTCTTATTTAGGATTATTGAGTTCAGATACTGGCAAATCCAAGAAAAATACAAAAGCTTGTAAGTCTTGGGAGAAGGGAGTGCCACTAATACTGAACTGTAAACAGACTCCCAATCCAAATGGATGAAAATATATTCCATCACTCTAAACCAGAGTAAATTTTATGTAGGAAGCAGTACTTTATGGGCCGAATGTACAGATAGGAGTGAAGACCACAAATTTTAGAAATGGCTAGGAGTTTGAGTATTCTCAACTTGAAAAAAAAAAAAAAAAAAAGGATGTTTTCCCCATAGTATTTCACTTGGTTGTGATGAGCACTGCTGAAATCAAGGCAGTTTTAATATCTTTTTTTTTTAAGAATCTGGTTTAAAGCTCTTGAGTTGTTTGCTGGAGTTTTTTTAATCTTTGATTTCATTATATCTGTTTATTTAGTATTCACCGGAAAGAGTAAAATACTCAATAAATGGTTATATCGTTGAACTTCATTTGCTGTAAACTTTATCTGCTTATTGTAACAACTAAATACCAATCCTTTTTTTTAAAAAAAGAGTTGCTGCTAACCCACTTACCAGACCAACATGAAATAATGAGTTAATTTTAAAAAATAATTAAAGAAGGATTATCTAATCCTAACTTTTTATGACTGCAAAATACTGCTTTGGTATTCTTTTGTTCTGCAGTTGTCCTTTCTAATATCACTTTAGCAAGAAAGCCTTTTCTTTTATGCCTGTCGTTTTCTTGGCTGTGGCTGTTTCCAGTATCGCTCAGCAGCCAGCTCCTCTCCTGATGCCAAAGAACAGTGTGTAATGTGGAAAACGAGCCATAATCCACTCTTCTGGTAACATGACTGGACATACCATTCCACATGCAAATTGGCTCAAGTGATGTCAGTTATTTTTCTCCAGATAGTACCATTTCTTTCTACACCTCTTTCTTTGGCCAGTACAGACATCTCTGCCTGTGGGCTTACATCCAGCTGATGAGGCAACACCAGCTTTGCACAGGGGAGTACTGGCGTGGAGACCTAATGTTCCTCCAATTGGACATTTTATCTTTCCTGCTCTGGACAGGGTAGTGCTGAGCTGGCAGATGAGATTAAACCACGTGCTGTTTAGACCTATAGACAGAGTACTTTCTTTAGTGTGCGTTTTCTGTTTTGCAGTTGGAAGCAGGCAAAAAGGAGAGCAACAAGTAAGAGCTGTTGGAAAAGAGAAATGCGTGTATTTCTTTTGGCAAGGAAGGCACTCCACAGTGAGCGAGAAAGGAACATCGGCACTGATGACAGTGGAACTTGATGAAGAGAGAGGAGCACAGGTGAGCTTCCTGCAGACTAAGGTGGCAGTCCTGGTAAGACTTGCCTGCCCAAGCGAGCACTAACAGTAAATGCAGGTTATGTTTTTTGCCTCTTCTCTTTCTGTAAAACTGTTCTTGCCAGTACAAGTAGCCAGACCTTAAAATTAGTTTTGACTTTATTCCAACTTCCAGAGATGTATAAGCACCTTTATGGATTGTCATTTCCAAATCCCACTTCTACAGATATTTCTGAGAATGGCTGAGGAGGACTGTCTTCTCTGCCTTCTCTGCAGGAATAGGTGAAACACAGTCAAGCAAATTTGTGCCTTTACTTCCAGTACATGTTCAGATAACAGGACTGTCATCTTAGTGCTGAGAACAGAAGCAGCACTTTCTGCCAGGCCAAGGCATGAAAACACATTGGAAATTTTCAATTTGTTTACTCTGTAATTATAGATTAGAATCTAGCCATGGTGGATTCAGCTCCTTTGAAGCCCAGAGGACAGACAGGCTTGCTTTGCCTTTAGGCAGAGCTGTGCTTTGCTATAGCTTGATTATTATTAGCATACAAAGTGGGAGGCTTAAAGTTAGTTTCTCTGCCTTGATAATGCTGTATTTTGTTTTTTAACAGCACCATAGACCTGAGCAATGAGACAGGAGTTCAGAGAGGAGATAAGCAAATACACCTGATCCAGAGTGTAGTATTCTGTGCAACATAGCTGATTTAGCAATTGGTTGTAACACATTTTATAATCACAATACAATGTTCAATGAGTAAAGAAACGTGCATGTTGTCATAAAAAAACAGTTTTACAGCACATTTTGAATTTACTTCAGTTCCTATATTATCTCCCTAATGGTTTCAAAGAACATCAGGCAGGATGTCCCAGTCCTGTAAAGAATTCAAATAATGGTTAGTTTAATTTAAATTGAAGTTTATCTGGTATTACTTATCCCCTGAAACTCTTGACTGTTGGATTCCAGCTAGAGGTTTCTTTTAATATGCAGGTCACATATGAAACCCATTGTGTGCTGATATATATGGTAATTTAAACACTAGTCAGCTGTTGTGAAGTAGAAGGAAAGCCGTTTTTGTAGGTGGCCATAGCTATCCATAGAGACTACAGACAGGGAGAGGAGTGGCTGGAGAGCGCCCGGCAGAGAGGGACCTGGTAGTGCTGGCTGACACCCAGTTGAACATGATCCAGCAGTGTGCCCAGGTGGCCCGGAAGGCCAATGGCATCCTGGCTTGTATCAGGAACAGTGTGGCCAGCAGGAGCAGGGCGGCGATTCTGCCCCTGAGCTCAGCCCTGGGGAGGCCTCCCCTCGAGCCCTGTGTGCAGGGCTGGGCCCCTCCCTGCAAGAGAGACCTTGAGGGGCTGGAGCGGGTCCAAAGGAGAGCAGCAAGGCTGGGGAAGGGACCAGAGGGAAAGTCCTGTGAGGAGAGGCTGAGGGAGCTGGGGGTGTTTAGCCTGGAGGAGACTCGGGGGGACCTGATCACTCTCTACAACTGCCTGAAGGGAGGTTGGAGTCAGGTGGGGGTCAGGCTTTTCTCCCGGGCAACCAGTGACAGGACAGAGGGCACGGCCTGAAACTGCAACAGGGGAGGTTTAGGTTGGATCTCACACAACACTTCCCCACGGAGAGGGTGCTCAGGCACTGGGATGCACTGCCCAGGGAAGTGTCCCTGGAGGTGTTTAAGGAGAGGCTGGATGTGGCACTCAGAGCCATGGTCTGGTCGATGTGGTGGTGTTGGGACATAGGCTGGACCTGATGATCTCAGAGGTCTTTTCCAGCCTTAACAATTCTGTGTGTGTGTGTGTGTATGTGTGTGACTAGTTTTCCCAAGTCTGTATACTTGCTTCATTTTTTTTTTTTTTTTTAATGAAGTGTAGTGCTTTCGATTTCCAGGTACAAGTGCTCCAAGGAAAAGAACCGCCGTGCTTCCTGCAGTGCTTCCAAGGAGGGATGATTGTGCATGCTGGAAGAAGGGAAGAGGAAGAAGAAAATGCACAAAGTAAATTACTGTTAGTTAAAAGCTTCTGTCACCAAACCCTTTTATATCGATTGTGAAGAGCTTTGAATTAAGTCTCAACTACCATACTCTGTAGAATGCCATGAAACCCATGAGGCAGTTTTTCCATGCTTTGCTTTGAGGTAGTTTGTTTCCTCTTTGAGCATAGAATGATTTTTGTCACCCTAGAACAAGCTGACTTTATTGTATCGATATGCATATAAATTGTTCTAGCTGTTTTTTAATTAAGCAAATTGCCCATTTCCTTCAAAATATGTTCTTTTCTACGTAGTCTGGGCAAGAGAGTATTTTCATGAGCAGTTCTCCAGCTCCAAAGAGAACTCTTAAGCTTTTGTTACCTATTTGTTACTTTTTGCAGCATACTCTTAGAATGCTGCAGTTGAGGTAGTAGAATTTCACTGCAGATGTAGCTTAGACGTGTTCCAGTTCACGTCTGAATGTCATCTCCTTTGCCTAAGGTGCACAGGGGAAGAGGAGATGAATAGAAGGAGTTCTGTATTTGTTTTCCTGCTTTTTCCTGTGTGAAATGGAGCAGAAACTTAACTCTTCCGCTTTGTTAAGCTCTTCAGCTCTCAATACTTGTCTTCTTGTGGTGAGGTTTTAGAAAGCATCTTTCCTGCAACAGGGTTTCTCAAGTAACGTTAGCCAATCCTGATGCTTGACTAGTTTAGTCTGTGACAGTATAGACATGCGATATGTGAAATCCATCCGGTATGAGAAGAGCTGTTCCAGAGTAGAGGTCTTGAATTTTCAATCCCATGTGACTGTATAATACTGCTGCACTGTTCCTGTCTGCTCCAGGTGACTGGAGGCTATATTGCGTGCGAGGAGAAGTTCCCAATGAAGGAAACTTACTTGAAGTAGCATGTCACTGCAGCAGCCTGCGTTCCCGGACATCCATGATTGTCCTCAATATAAATAAAGCTCTTATCTACCTGTGGCATGGCTGCAAAGCACAATCTCACACCAAGGATGTAGGAAGAACAGCAGCCAATAAAATAAAAGAACAGTGAGTGTCTGACCTATGTTTTGGAGATGTTTATAAAGGCTACCAATTTACTTAAAATTGTCTGCCTTAAGGAAAAGTTGAAAAAAGTAAAGCTGTCCTCTGAGTACGACTCTGCAGTATGTGCATGCTTGATAAGGAGGAGGAATGATGGGCATTTGATTCGCTGGAGTGGGGAAAACACATACTCTCTAATCTCTTTCACTTAAGGTGAGATGCAGTTACTTATCCTACTGTACTAATTAGTGTTGCAAAAAGTCTCCACTTGGAGGAGGATGCTCAGTATCTAAATAGCAAACTATTTAGTTGATAGGAGGATTAGAATCAAGCCTTATGAATAAGGAAGAGGAAATGAATTTGAGAAAGCATGCAAGGAGGACAGCAGTAGTTACAAAAACAGGCAGTGAGAATCCCTACGGAGAGCTGATGTGAGCATCTCCTCCTTCTGGGTGTGTGATCAGAACTGCTATGAAGATGGTTGCTGAAATTCTGTATCTTGTTTAATGATAATTTTGCCATCATTTTCAAAAGCCTATGTTGACGTGAAGTGTGCAACAAATCCGTAGGGTGCTTTTGAGCTCTAGTAATGCGAGTGGCCAGCAGGTTTGTGTTAGCTGTGTTTGGGGCAGGAAAGCTGGGTTCACTCCCTTTCTTTGTGTTTTGTAGATGTCCGTTGGAGGCAGGGCTGCACAGCAGCAGCAAGGTGACGATACATGAATGTGATGAAGGATCAGAGCCCTTGGGATTCTGGGACGCCTTAGGAAGGAGGGATCGAAAAGCCTATGACTGCATGTTGCAAGGTAGACCTGCGTTCTGATGTGGCACTTGCTTTACTGATCTGTGGTCCTGTGAGATTTAATGTAAAGCGTTTGAATGACTTATTGGTAGTTGAGATGATCCCTTCAGAGAGATGCTTCCAAAACTCTACTGAGTTAAATCATATTGTTCTAGAAGGGAAATTCTGGAAAACAAAGTGTTTCATTTTGTTCTTTCCCCCTTCTGCAGCCCCTCTGTATTCATGCAGCACGGAGCAACAGTTAACGCTGTTACCAACACATTTTACTTCTCCTCTGAAGGGATTTAGGAGGCAGCTCTGCACACATTCTTGTCCAGTCTTTGCTTTGAAACTGCCAACAAAGGTAGCAGGGGGATTGATTTACCAAGTGGAAAATTTGGCAGCTAAAAAGTAAATTCCGAGATGGACTTGCTTCACTTAAGCTGCAAAACGGCCAGTTACGAAATGGCCAATAGTAACTAGCCAGGATCGGATTCAAACTCGTGGCAGACAGCCTTTTAGCTCGAGTTCTTAACAGCTGTTGCTAGTCCCACAAGACATTTGGTCATTGTTCTTGATTTTTCAAAAACCAGAGAATTTACAGTCACTCTAAAAGCTGATTTTTATTTTTTTAATTTATTTTCTTTTTTACATTCATCTCTGACATTTTCTATTGGAAATCTTCTTAATTTTTGTTCTTTAAAGATCCTGGAAAGTTTAATTTCACCCCCCGCCTGTTCAGTCTCAGTAGTTCATCAGGAGAATTCTCAGCCACCGAGTACGTTTACCCTTCAAGAGACCCTGCTGTCATCAATTCTATGCCATTCTTGCAAGAGGATCTTTACACTGCCCCACAGCCAGGTATATGCTCCAAAATACTTAAGTAACAAGAAAATATATAACTGTATCCTGCATTGGGCAATGATTCAGTAACTGTAATCACTTTTAACGTGATTTATTACAGGAAAATGTGTGCATATACAGCATTAAGCAATAACAGTATTTCTTTCCATGATAAAGACACTGAGGACTAATCAAACATACATGTAGCCCAAAAGTTTGCTATAAAAATACATTTGTTGTATCAGAGAATGAGTACAGCTGAGATTGAGCTGGATGAATAACAAAAGGGATATAACAAAAGGGAATAACAGAAGTGATCCTGTCCTGATGCTCACAGTCATGTAAGACAAGTTGTTCAGGGGATGGCTGATGATGGATTTGTTATTTTTTGGCTGTGTAGCACTGTTCCTTGTCGACAATCACCATGAAGTGTACCTGTGGCAAGGCTGGTGGCCTGTGGAAAACAAAATTGCTGGATCAGCTCGGATCAGATGGGCTACAGACAGGAAATGCGCCATGGAGACTGTTCTCCAGTACTGCAAAGGTAACCGATGGCTGTGCCTGGCTGCTCTCAGTGTGGCCCCCCTTCCCAGGCCTTACTGAATGGAGCTGAAAGGTACTCAGGTGCCTCCCGGATGATATCAATACACATCAGTGTATTTGAAGATTCTTTCTTAGCAAAGCATTTGTTTAGTAACAGCATTGTTCCCAGATTGCCAAGATAACTCTGCTGACTCAGTTCTCAGAGGAAAGGCTTTATTTCTCTTCTGTGGGAGAGTGGTTCAGACATCAGGTTCCTAAAAGTGAATTCTGAGAACACAGCCTCTTAAACCTGAATGCTTTCTGCCTAGCTCCTCTTAAATTTCATAAGCTTCCGTGTATCAGAACCGTTTGCTGATGTAACCGAGTTTTGCTTTAGTGGGGGAGATGGAAAGACTTTGAAGAGACAGGTGGCCGTTGGAAATGCTGGAGTTATTGCCACTCAGTGTGCAGGGCCTCAGGCTGCAATTGATGTAAGAGTGCACTCACCAGATTATTTTCTGCACTAGTAGAGTTTCCTTGAGACACCATAATGCTTTCCTCTCACTTAATCTAAGGTTATGTGAGGCTGGGAACAGACCTTCCATTTTCTGATGGAGGTTGAACAAAGAAAGGTGTGACATTACTATCCAGAAAAGATGGTGTAACAGCCACATTCTGTGAGTTCAGAGCAGTTTCCCACTGTGAATAAGTCCCTAAGGCATAACTGGTGCAAACCATGTCCTCTTACAAGGGAAGCCTGATTACTTACAGACTTTTAGACCTCTTGCTGCCACTCACTCCCTAGCAAATGAACTTTACAGTTTGCGACACAGCAGGTGGTAACTGTCATCCTCTCCCATAGATGTTTGTGTATTTGAAGTGGGAAAGCGATACCCTTGTTGGATTCTACCCTTCTGAAGATAGACCAGCCTCCTTCCCAGTCTGCAGGTCGAGTAGGAGTTAGGAGCAAGTGTTGTGTTTCTGCTCAGTTGTCTCGTGTCACTGAGGGAAGGTGGTAACACCTGGCAGGAGACAACTGAAAACCAGTACTGGAGGCACTGAAACATGACCTTTATTGGACTGTGTTACTGCTCTACAGGCTTCACCCTCTGCTGTCCCTGGCACCATGCTGCCCAACAGCAGCATTTAGTTAGCAATGGGGTGCTAAAGACATGGCAGTAATTGGAAGTCTTTGGCAATGACCACTGAATTCCTAAAGAACAGGCCAGTTACTTTTTCTCCACCATCCCTACCCCTAGTTTTTGCAAGTCAGGAGTGATAAGATGCACTTTTTTGAAATCACTTCACAGCAGAAGAGAATGTCAGCACAGAGGAACAGAGCCCCATGCAATACAGTGCCCAGAGTTGCTCAGCAGGCTAGTGAGAGATGGAAGCAAGATCCCAGTCTCGGTGTTCCTGATACAGTGCTGTAATCTGGTAATGAAAATCATGTTTTCTGGCCCCAGCAGAGACGGAATCAGATACACATGCTGAGGGTTGGATACTGTTCCAGATTTCGTGAACTTCATCGAGTTCGATGATGGGAAAAGGGATTAATACCTTCTGCACTGAATTGAATTTGCTGCATCTGAGTTTGATGCACGGTGGAAAACTCTTCTGTGACTCCTCAGGGTTCTGAAGTTTAACATATATACCACAGGACAAGTTTTTATGCTGGGTACTCATGTCTTTACCTTTGACCATGACTTTGCAGCAGACTTTATCCTCTTTGCCATGGAGTAGTTCTGGGCTGTGTGGTTGGATAGGTAAGGAGCAAGTCTGTTACTGTTAAAGACCGCTTCTACCTGTACTACTTCAGTGCTAAAGGCAATGTGAATTTCTTTAGCAGTTTTTACTGTTCAAACTATGCTGTTCTGGTGGTATCTCATAGGATCATAGAATACCAGGTTGGAAGGGACCTCAGGGATCATCTAATCCAACAATATCACTTTTATGATCTGGGATTCTGTTGACCACTTCAAAATTTCATTGCATCAAGCTGTCAGGGTGTCGTGGTTTGACCCTGACCAGCAGC